CTTCGGAATTGGTCCGCAAAATCGTTCCTATGTATACAGTATGACTAAAGCATTTAAAACAAATGAAAACTCGGGGGAGTACTCGTGTTTTTTTCTAGTTAAGTAAACTAAGGGGTTATTTACTTTATTTTCTCAAAAAGAATATGTATACGATACGGTTAGAGGAATATTTTACAAGTACACAAGTGCCATTAGAATATTTAACTGCTAAAATAAATCAATTATATTGAAAAGAATGAATTAAGTGAATCATAAACCGAAGTGATTTAGAAATAAAATAATTGGGCTCTTACGTATTTGTTTCAAGCAACAAGGAGAAAGAAAAAATTTCATCATGATTCTCAAAATATAAAGCTCCTATAAATACGAGCAAATCCCACACAGAAACTGCACACTCCAAAATATCAAACACCAATTCACCATGAAAATGATTTTACCAGGGATACTTCTTGTTTTATCCTGTTTGATTCCCATCACTGGTGGCACGGACGACGTTACACAACAATGGTATTACACTCAAATGTCACAAAATGTTGTACCACCATACAAAGAAGCCTATACAACTTTACAACAAAAAGTTCTGAATCCACTCTTGACTAATGTTAATACAACGAATGATACAGCTGTCAGTCAACTCGTTTCAAGTTTAACCTGTTCAATTCAAAATCTTGATGATCAGTTGACTACAGCTGTTAATGAAAGTCAAAAATTAAGAATTCAAATTGATCAAAACGTTGTTGAGGCTGTTGCGGCTGTCAGTGCTAAGGTCTGATTCATACAGGACATCCAATTAATATGAATAAAACTTCCTTGAAGCTTTCGATTTTCATTCAAATTACAACGTTTTGTGCAGCAGGAAAAACTTTCGTGCGAGTTTTGATATATGTAAACTGGAGGAAAACTTTTAAAATAAAGTTGGAAAAAAAGAAAACTTTGACTAAAAAGTATTCGAAGAACTGAAATTTACTTTTTTGTGAGCCGATCGTTCTCGAAACTACAAAGTAATTTTGATCAATAAAACTGACTGTCTGAACTAAAAAAAACCAGTTGGTTCTGTCTCAAATCGCCATAGCTTTCAAAAAGCATAATCTTTTGGTTTGAGAAAGGCTAGTCATACGGCACGTAAAAACTAATGATATGAAGTTTATTCTCATCAGAGTTTCAGTAGTGCTAAAAATGAAGACTAATGACATAGAAAAAAACTAATTTTTGAGTGTCTTAAACGACTAGAGAATCAGCGGAAACCGATCGGTCTAAATATTTACAACAAACTAAGACGACTTGATTTCAACTCTGCGCTCTACTGCTCATAGCGACTGAATCATACTTTCAATTCACTCTAAAAAACATGACATTTCGTTGCTTTGTCAAAAAAGCCGATGTTTTGATCTTCGTGTGCCTTCACTTAACAACCTTGCTCATTTGACGGACCTGTTTTGCAGGACTTTTATTCTTTTCACCGAAGTCTTTTGTAGATGAGCCCAAAAGAACAACAAATAACAGCTAAACAAGGTGAAATTCACACAAAAACAACGGAAATCCAAGGTGTTCAGAATCAATTGACAACAGCTGAACAAGGTCTCAGAGATAAACAACAAGGTTTAGCCGATGCTGAAAATGCTCTGCGAATTGCACAAGAAAAAGTTGAAGAAGCAAAAAAATGTATCACTGGTCGTCGTAAAAAACGTTGGTTGGGTTCCATTTGGAATCCAATTCGAGATACTATCACTAAGCCAATTCAAGAAATTTTAAGACCAGTTCAGGAC